CGGCGCTCTCCGTCAGCGATACGAAGTGGAGGCGTGGGACGGCGATGTGGCTGCTCCGAGGTCGTTCGGTAGAGAGTTGGGGGTTAGAAAACCGGTTGTGGGGTCGGCTCCTGGAGTGCCCGCTTCCCGGGAGAGAGGAAGGGTGTGCTGTGGGAGCTCTGCCTGGCGCTTGGGTGGGAGGACCTGCTGCTTCAGGAGGTGTCGGAATCACCTTTGGCTTGCCAGATATTTTAGACCCTCTTGGGAGGTGTGCAGGGAGTCCTTCCTCAGCCAGAGGGTGGTAACTCTCATACCTACTCTTCTGAAGTCTTTTACTGACGCTAATCGCCCTTTCTCTTTCCACTCTCCCCGGATCCCTGGCTCAGGACCGCATCGGCCGTCCCTCAGAGACCGGCATCATTGGCATCATTGACCCAGAGTGCCGGATGATCGGCCTGCGGCTCTACGACGGCCTCTTCAAGGTCATTCCCCTGGACCGGGAGAACAAGGAGTTAAAGGCTTTCAACATCCGCCTGGAAGAGCTCCAGGTCATCGATGTGAAGTTTCTCTACGGCTGTCAGGCTCCCACCATCTGCTTCGTCTACCAGGTACCCCGAGCTCGGTTGCTGACTCCGGCGGAGGGTGCTGGGGGTTGCTGGTGCACCAGCCAGGGTCGCGAAACGCCTTCCAAAGGGCTTGGAGCAGCGGCAGCGCCCTGGAGCCGACGGAAATCAATGCTTGGGGCAGGGCAGGGGACTGCTCTGGCTCCCGCAGACTCATTGCGTAGCCGAGGAAAGTCCCGTGTTCCTCCGTGCTGCCCTTTTCCCACTTCTGGGAGAGAGGAAGCAGCGCTCTCCCACAGGAGAGCCGAGCAGCTGGTGCTTCGGGGGGGACCGCTGCCTTCTTAAACGCATGGGAGGAGAGCGTGGGTCTTTCCAGCACGTGCTGAGCTCCGGGAGTGTAAAGGGGGGACAGGACCTCTCCTGTTGCCTGGGAGCTCTGTGTTAGCGGGCCCTCTTCTGAATGCTTATTTTGAACCGAAGAGCCTTTGCTGTGCTGACTGAGCGAGGGATTATCTTTGCTTTGTCCCCGCTGGGGCTGGCCTGGGCCCAGCTGGAAGCTCCTGGGGTGGCAGCACAGGCTCTGGTGTGAATTTAGCTCGGCTTCAGTGTAGTTTTTAGTGGCAAACTCATGCCACGAGAGCTACTAACTGCGTGGCAGCAGTGACCTGATTCTTCCCTGTCTGTTTTCAGAAGTCACTATTATTATTTTCAAGAGGGGTGGGTTCTGTTGAACCCCTCTGATGGTTACTGAGTAGATACAGGGGGAAAAGTCGCCTTGTCTCCACGTAACAAGGGGCTGGGAGGGCAGCCCGGATTCCCCCGTGCTGGGATGCTCCTCTTCCCCTGCCCTGTGGGTAGCTGGTGCTCCCCACTCACCGGAGCAGACGTCTCAGCCGTGCTGGGCAGCGTCCCCATCCGTCGTGTGT